GGTCACCGTTGCTGCGAAAAGCCCACTTGGTCCGAGAGCTGGATCTCCATCCAGGAGGCCTTTGAAGCGTTGAAGTCGCCTATCAGCAGGAGCTGGGTGAAGTGGTAGCTGGATGAGAGTTACTCAAGGAGTTGCATGAGAAACTGGTCACCTTCCGGAAGACTCAAGGGGCGACGGTTGACTACGCCGAGGAGGAGAGAATCGGACCCATGTAGTGATACTTTAATCCATAGTGCACCGCAAAAGGGTGCAGGGGTGGTGTAAGCGAGGTCAATCGTGATGAGCAGGGCCGCATGTGAGGTGAAGGCAAACTCACCAGCCCCCCTTCGTTTTGAGTCAGCTCGAAAAACAGAGTAGCATTCTGTCCAGTTCTCCGCGTCGGAGGCACCTTGCGCGGGCCAAGTCTCTTTGAGGGCAATTATGGACGGATGTTCAAAGTTAACTGACCGTATAATACCACAAAGTTTGTTGAAAACGCTGAGGCAGTTTGTGGACAAGCATTTCAACGTACCTCTGCCACTCCCTAAGGTGACGTGCCAAGATTGTGTAACCAGAAGTGTTTGCAGACTTGATAGCTGTTCGTCGGGCTTGTGTCGTGGTCACGGAAGGCGGCTCTGAGGCACACTTGTCCACTTCCCTTCCAGGTGGTTTTTGGGGCTTCTGTTCAGTTGCAGGTTTTTTCGCCCCAAGGGTGCCCGATTTGAGCGGGCCTTTTAGCTTTGAATGACAAAGTTTTTTCCCCGTGGGCAAAATTTTCGACCTTTGGTATCTGTAGCTCCTTCAACACCGGCTTTTGGACGACTGGCTGTGCGAGGGATTTTCCGGTTCGCTGTTGTCGGGTCTCTTGCTGTGGCTAGAAAGCAGCCCTGGGCAACAGCTGTGTCCACAAACAAAGGGGCCGTTTTTGGTGGAGTGGAGCTGGAGATGGGCAGTTTCACATCCTCAGTGGTTGGACCATTCTCGCATCATTCCTGAAGTCGAGGTCAACGCATTGATTTGTCGGTATCTGTAGCTCCTTCAACACCGGCTTTTGGACGACTGGCTGTGCGAGGGATTTTCCGGTTCGCTGTTGTCGGGTCTCTTGCTGTGGCTAGAAAGCAGCCCTGGGCAACAGCTGTGTCCACAAACAAAGGGGCCGTTTTTGGCGGAGTGGAGCTGGAGATGGGCAGTTTCACATCCTCAGTGGTTGGACCATTCTCGCATCATTCCTGAAGTCGAGGTCAACGCATGTGGTTGATTTGTCGTGTGATTCACCGCTTAACTCTACCTATCTGACCCAGTCAAGCCTAGAAGTTGTGGCTTGTGTGTGGAGTTCACCGCTGTACCTCTTTCGTCTATTATGAAATGAAGCGTCGATAGCTCCACATACTTTTTGCTGCGTCCACGTGAGGCTTGCCTTTCCCAGGGTATAGTTGCCTTTGGTAATCTAAGGGTTTGTGTTGATTGTGCAGAAACTGCTATCCGGAGTTGTGACCGGTTGTGCGTATGCTTTCAGAAGCAAAGATGGCTGTAAGTACAATCGGTTTGGCCATAAGTTTGGGGTCGGCTGAACTGACGCCAAGTGGAGGCCTGCTCCGAACCCCTCCCCTAGAATTGCTGTGGCCCAGCTTTCTCGCCTCTAGAGGGTGATCCGCAGATAGACGCCTGCTCCACCGGCGTGATTTCTCTGGATAGGGTCCAAGAAGATCAGCCTGCCTCTCCTTACGCGCCTGTCCGCTAGAAACATCGTGACGGTCTCTACTGTCTCATCCGGGATCTGGATGACCTCCTTCGCAGTCAACGGGCTCGAGATGGTTAGTGAGAGGTACTCGTTCAGCGAAGAAGTTTCTTTATCAACGTTCGTCCAGGTCGCTGCGTTCTTTGTGTTCGCATCGTCCAGCGGTTTTTAAAAAAGCTCTAGTTTCGCGTCAAGTAGCCCGAGCAAAGGGGAACATTCGCACTGGTCTTTCTGTTTCAGTTTCGTTTATGATCACTCTACCTATTCGCGGAATGCATTGTATCCTTGATGTAGAGGCAGTCGGCGCAGACAAACGGGTCGGGAGATCTATCCAGTTGACTTGCCTGGTCGTCCTGTAAGCCCGTGCACTTAGAGTGCTACCAGGCCTTGATGGTGTAGCACTGCATAACGCGTCTTACATATGACGGACAGCCATTTCGCCGAAATCTATTTTGGTCCACCGCTTAAGCCATTAAGCATCTAGTGTTGATTAGTGCCTTGAATTAGACCGGATGCGAAATAACGGAATTCATAACGTACATGTAACTTAAAAGTAAAAAGATTCGACGAATGACGCGTGTGGACTCGGTAAAAAGACTGACAGTGAAAAGTTTTTCAAAAACATGCACGAGGGAAAAATGAGACCAATTTCGAAAGTAACGCACGGCTAAGAGCAGCCTTTTATTTTGCCGGGGGAAAATTGCCTTACCTGTGTTCATAGTGTTATAACAAATTTTGAAGTAACTTCCTTGTGAGGGGAAGTGAAGTCCGGAGATGCAATGCTGTATCCTGATTGGCTCGAATTCTGGCCAATAGGTGTATGGCTTCGTATCGCCCATGGCCGTCTCCCAACGCATGCGCCCAACGGGCGTGGTGTTTAACTGTTGGCAACCGCCTGCGAACACCTCTTGATTGAGGTTCGATCGCCACCTTGATTCGAATTGTGACAGCCCAGGCGCCGCTGTTGCATGTCGTTCAATGCACAGGGAATTGAGCAAGCTGTTCTGTCATCTGGTGCAGATATTTCAGACTGCGTTATTCATTTCGTTGGTATATCGTAGTATTCTTGTGTTGCAAGCGACGTGGTTCAATTTCGGGGCCACAGTTTGGTGCTTAAATACGATTCGTGTCGTGTCTGGCATCTAGTATACACTGGATGCTTAATATAGTTGTCGACACGGTGTCCCCCACTGACAACAAAATGGAATCACCTCAAGGGCCTTTATGTAACTGCTGCGAACCCCTCTCTTTCAGTCTTTTCGACGTGACTTCCTGGATAACAGGACACTCTGCTCGCTCACGAGACTGGATCGAAGACTGGCTTGAGGTACATTATTGTACCTGTCGACAGGATTCATAAAAAAGGAATGAGGTGAGAGCTACCGGTGTCGGACGTCAAGAGGTAAATAGCCGTTGTTTTTCGTGAGCTTCTATTGCTATCCAAAGGTGAATGCTATTATCCATTCTCGTCTTACTCGAAGGCGTTTTCTCATGGTTTAATGGATTGGATTGTTGCCACTCTCCATGATGATGCTTTCCTGAGAACCCTGCTTGGAGCCAGTGGTCTTCTTCGCTTGGCTCTGGAAAGAGTATTTAACGCGGGTGCGTTGCGAATACGGCACAACTCTGACTCTTAACCAAACTGCGCACAGAGTTGTCTTCTGTGCAGCACCAAACTCTGCTTTTGAAAGTATTCCTCCCATTTTAAGAGATGTGCTGGTACTCAGTCATTTTGGACAATCAGAGTGTGGTCTACAAGATCAACTCTTTTTCATCCGTCCTCACTTGGAGGAAGGCAGCCTCAGTGCTTTCATAAATATGAACATACTGGTTGCTTGGAGGAATAACCCTTACTGCCTTCTTGCCTCAGGGGACAGAACGAATTTACCCTCAAAACTTCTCGTATTACGATTACTTGTAGTGTGGAGACTTGTCTCCCTTCCTTTGGTTGTTTCACTTTAGTCTTCTAGGATTGTTGAACCTTTAGGAGGAAAGTTGCAGTCGGTTACGCTCACGGGATCATTAAAACCTCAAGCCCGACCACCACACCAGGCTGGTAGCTATTGGCTGGACCGGCCTGCTACCACGATAGCGCAAGTTTTCTTGGAAACCTTCCGCCGTGCGTGTTGCAGCCTTTGTCACGGAGGACCAAGGCTCTGCGGCTGTTTGACCAAAATCCACCTGCCAATGTGGTATGCGGAAACCTGCAGGTGTCGAAATGGAACTCCAAAGTATAGCTTGATGGGCCGTGGAGATACACAGACCACCACATTGTGGTAGAGTTCAGTCTCAGCAACGAACTACCAATCCTGAACACTACCGCCCCGTATGTAGCCAGTGGTAATGTAAATTTGTTGGTGCCTGGACCTAGTGCAGAAGGGCACAAATGGTGTCACGGCGATCCGAGTGGTGGGCGGCCGATTGACGGTAGTGGCGTTCGTGTCGTCGGTTTGTCTCCGGATTTTCTGTCTGAGCTTTCGGAGGTCTATTTACCTCAGGATGCTTCTGATAGCCTAGGCACCGCGTCCTTTTTTCACCCACTCATTTATGTTTATATCTCAAAGCTTGATTTATAAGTGACTCAACTTTGTGGCTTCACTTCATTGAAGCATCACTGTTCCTACTGATGTTGACACCCTAAATGACAGATTGACGTTATTGAGGTCTTTTGGGTGGTATTTGCGCGCGACAGTTGAGGCCATGCTACCTCCCAGACTGTTGGTTTGGTGACGTGCTTCGATTTCTAGAAGACCATCTATTCCTCCAATTCCTTCTCTCCAAACTGTGTACAGGACGGAGAAAGCTCAGAGGAAACCCGATGGTTACCTGGCAGCAGTATATTCAGCTTGTGGGAGACTCGGAGACTAGCCACATTGCCCGATACTCTCATGTACATGGCCCATTTGCGTACCCACTTGGTGCTCGCATCCTGACTGCTCCCTGTAATGCATGGATAGACATTTTTATCACCCCACCCTAGCAGGACATACTTCAGCCTACACACAGTCATTCCTGAATATGCACTTTGATGTTTTGGGCTGTCATCTTTAACGGGCAGTTTGCTCATTCCAGTTCGCTATTTACCAGTGGCCCAAACTGTAGCAGATACAACTGCCACACAACCTCTACGTCGTTTTTAACTGATGATTGTAAGGGTGATTTTCTTGTGCAAACGATACACCCATGCACTCCTTTTTTGATGACCTAAGATGCAAAGTTTAGAGTTTTCTAAGAATACATTTTGTCTTTCTGGTATCCCTAGTCTATTTTCCTTTACTCACAGGGGCTACTTTGACACTTTCAAGCGCCTTGAGATGGAGGAGGATATAGAAACTGACGACGATTTTGCAGTAGCAGAGGCCAGGGAATTGGTAACCACCATGAATAGAAAGAAAAAGAAATCTGGCGGATTTCAAGTTATGGGTCTCAGTTTTTTGGTCTTTAAAGGGATCACCAAGAAAGGGTACAAGTTACCTACTCCAATCCAACGAAAGGTTAGTGGCTTCTCGCTGTTATCCTGACAATGCATTGTAGGCTATTCCACTGATCTTAAGTGGCCGTGACGTGGTTGCCATGGCCCGGACTGGAAGTGGGAAAACGGCAGCGTTTCTGATACCGATGTTTGAAAAATTGCAGCAGCATATGACCACTGGACCTCGTGCATTGATACTGAGCCCAACTCGAGAGTTAGCCATTCAGACTCTAAATTTCACAAAGCAGGTAGGTCGTTCACTTTCATTCCACTACATATGCAATAGCTAGGAAAGTTCACTACTCTGAGTGCAGCCGTCATACTTGGGGGAGATAAGTAGGTATTTGGTGTTTTGCTTGATCTAATAACCTGTTTCAGAATGGAAGATCAATTTGCCGCTCTTCACTCTAGTCCGGACATGTAAGAAACCTTACGATAATTCACTTACAATCTGCTAGAATCATCGCCACTCCCGGCCGTTTGCTACACATTCTCATGGAAATGAACTTCAGTCTGAAGACGATTGAATATGTAGTATTTGATGAAGGCGACCGGTGAGTTTTTGGCTAGATAGCGAAATTTCAACATCTGATTTCCTTCTGTGTGAGTTTCGAATTTGTATCTTTTGTATCATCCTGGGAAGATAGTCACCCTCATTTAATCATAGTTACTTTCATTTTGTACGTTCCCTTTTCCGAGTTTTTAGACTGCTGAGCCTTCCGCTTCCATGTCAGCTGGTTTCAGTTTGTTTCGCCACGTGTTTTCTCTGTTATGACATGGAAGACATAACGAACTATCGTAAGGCATATTTCTGAGTTATCTTTACTTTCCCCCTATGCTCGCATTGCATCGTTCTGCTCCCTTAGGCTATTCGAATTGGGGTTTGCCGAGCAGTTGTCGGAAACGCTTCATCGGTTGCCACGTGATCGTCAGACCCTCATATTCTCGGCTACACTACCAGGCAACTTGATCGAGTTTGCACGAGCTGGTCTGAATGATCCGGTTCTACTTCGTCTGGATGTGGATACAAAACTGAGCAAGAATCTGAAGGTAATAGATTCACTAATCAAGTCCTTTTAGGCTTTCGTTGGCCCTTCGAGCTGCTTTTTATGAATTTTTACCCACCTTTTTTTACCATCATTGTTAGCGCTCCTGTTATATCAGTTCCCGGTGGTTCTTAGGTGTTTGGATTGTTAGCTAGTCGTGTGCTAGGTGTATGTCAGAAGCGTAAAACAGAAGGACAAACTAGTCTCACAACTGCCGGTTCTCTTGATTTGCTCAATATTTATATTGGGACGTACCAGTTCGGTAGGAGCGCAGTCGTGTATTGTATGACACTATTGTAGAGCATGATTTGCCTCACATATCAGATCTCGGTTCGTGGCTTCACCAAGTTGACGGTGCTGAGAATTCCAGCTTCGTGGACAGTCCATTATTGCACTTCTTCTTAATGAACTGAGTGTAGTAGCTCACGCTTTTTTTTACCTCACTTGGATCATGTTTAAACTGATGGAGTGAGATGCACTGAGTTTAGACGGTTGCATATCATAGTTTATCCGAATTTGTGGTGTGTGCTCAAGAGATGTGAACAATACCTAGGTTGTTGTTGAACTCTTTGTACTGCTGTCTTTTTGATACTTAGAGTCTTAGACAGTCCAGTGGCTGAACACGAACTACCGACTGAGACTGAGACTGAATCACGCATCCTCAAGCATGTGTGCGTAACAGCCGTGTATAGTGGAGTCGTGCTCACTTGTCAAACCTTTGGAGTAATTTCAGAGATGATCGCAGTTGCGTTCACTCACTCAGGTTTAGTCATACAAGAATCCGTGTAATGAAATGTAGCGTTCGAGCAAAAGGGCGTCGTATATGATTGGATTTTGTGGTCAGTTTGGGGTCCAGTGCCTCATAAATTTTCTTGTAGATCGCGCCACAGTAAACTTCAAAGCTAACTTCCATAAGGCTGTCTGGATGTTAGTGCGCAAACTAACTCAGATGAGCCCAGGTTACTGACGTTTACTCAACCAGTAAACACATGCAACTAGTGGGATGCTGGGCATGTGCATCACTTGTGCACTGAGAGTAAAAGTCGGATAGTCAAATTTGATGTAGCTATGACATTCTCGCTCTCAGTCCCCTTTGCCACATCCGATTGATCTCACACTTCTATTTCTGCTTTTCAGTTAATCCATCTCAGTTGTCTCCCTGACGAGAAGAATTCTTTGCTGCTCCATTTGCTTCGTTGCGTCATTCCAAAAAAAGAGCAAGTAGTCGCCTTCTTTGCCACGAAGCACCACGTCGAGTTCTTCCAAATGGTAAGAATATTTCGGGATTTTCATCCATTACGTTTCCCCATATTTAATACGGTGTCATTTGGTCAAGCTTTTCATGCATCTGAAAAGAAAGACGAAGATGAGGATGACATATTTATTTGGAGGCCGAATATATTCTTAAGGGTCCCGCTGGACTTTGGCTTCCACTTTTCATACTTGACCCCTCAAAGTGGTTGTTTCGTGGTCAATTTCTCTACCGTTAGGATCCTAGTTCAGTGGATGTGCCTTCCTGCTAACAGTACTTGGTAATTTCGGAGCACAAAGTAAGTGGCGTTCTCTAGGGGGGACCGCCGGCCCTCCCATTTGGACCACAATCATGGGACCATTTGGCACAGTGAAAGCCTTCCTCAATAGAGGCGCTTTTGATTGTCCAATCGACTTGTCTGTGTTGCTCTTCCATCGTGGATTGTCACCATGTTGGTGGCGCTAGAAAGCAATTATTCGCCCGCGCTTCACACCTCGTATCTTCTCTTCCGCAAACGTAGAGATAAAGTGTTAGCATTGTGTTACGCCTAGTCACAACACCTTCCATTACCCTGGAGCCATCTCTCTTGATCAGTCCTATCAGCAGTCGCTGTAGACGGGTTTTATTTTCTCAGTTATTTTGATCAGTTGCTCCGCATACTGCTGTTGGCTGAATGCTATCCTTTTTCAGTTACTTACCGAAGCTGAACTCCCATGCACCTGTATACATTCTGGTCTGGATCCAGCTGCGCGTAACTCGGCGATCAAAGAGTTTACTTCGAATCAAACTCGTGTTTTGTTGGTCACTGATGTGGCTGCCCGTGGCGTGGACATTCCCTTATTGGATAATGTGATAAATTTTCATTTCCCACCGCAACCGAAACTTTTCCTACACCGAGTAGGTAAGTCTATGTGATTCTAGGAATGACACAACAATGAGGATCACTGATGAGCATCGTCATCTAGCGTATTTTTATGGCTGTCCGAAATATCCATCACACTCTTACCCGATTAGGTCTTCAAACAGAATCGTTTATTGACCTAGTTAATCGTGGTTTGTGTTCTGGATTCGGGCCGGAGTTCACGTCTTCAAACACCAGAAGCTTTGAATGCATGCATGAATGATGTAGTCCTCTTCCGGTTGCTAATACAGATCTGCCGCGACCAAGTCTGTGTTCATACTGACCCACAGGTGGTAGGGGCGGCCTTATCAGAGGTTTCCGGAAAAATGGATCGATCTCGCACAGTTCGCAAAAGTCTCACAAGGATGCTGTTAATGACTGACGTAGGTAGTCACACACTGTCACTTAAAGGGTGTCTTCCATAATTTCAGAGTTGATGTTCATCTGTTGCAGCCATGTTTGCGTAACTGCCCCTCCTTTTGAAAGACGTCAAAGGGACCTAAATATGATATTTTCAACGTTTGAGGAAACACTAGAAGTTACTAGACTTTCCTTTGATCCTACGTTAAAAGAGGAACTCTACAACCAAACGGCGGAAGTGGCTATAGGTGCATTCATATCCGCAATTGTTGCCGACTTGTTCATGCAAGATTTAGAAGTTCGAAGGCTCAACTTTTGAAACCTCGCCAGTAATCTTGTGTGGATATTTTGACGACTTTCTGGTCGTCATCTTATCAGATGATGTGGGCACCATCCTCACACAATATTTTACATGGAGACACTAAATTTACCTTGGTAAAAGGAAAGATAAAAAAATATCTATTTCGTAAACTGCCATATACAACGAACAGGGTCAGGACAGATACAAGAAACTCAGTCAACCAGGTATTTTTGTTTTAACCCTGAATGTCCATTATGCACCGAGGAAGCAGTATCTGCGAATATTTGTCGGGGATCAGTATTATTCACCAACTTCCCTGAGGAGATGCAGAAATAGGATAAAATTTGATTCTAAGCGCGAAAACCAAACGTCTTTCAAATACATCCAGGAGGTTAATCACAACAGTTAAGATGGAACTAATACCCCATACAAAAATGCATCTGAGGATAACAGACAGATTCTGAACCAGCGGTATTTCAAGCAACGACTGATCCTAACCTGCACCGTTCGGAAGACACTCAAAAGCCGATGAAACAGGTAGACTCTGTCTATAGACTGCAATTTGACGACTATGATGAGTGGTATATCAGACAGTTGGACACTTAGAGTGAATAACCGTAACCGCTGTTGTAAGAAACAACCTAAGGATACCATGCAACTGGTTAAGCTGGGCTATCTGTACGCTGTTCACCGATCATCGAGTGAATTTTGGCCAACGTGCGGCACTGAGGCTTCGTTTCCCCAAGCACAGGGAACGGCTTCTAACAAGAACTGTGTTGGTCAACCACGAAACAAACGTAGTGGCATACACCGCCTATTTGGCAGAGCGTATTGAGTTGAGGTGTTACACATTGTTTTTCTACTCATCTTATCCTCTTGACCTATGGCTGACCCTAGCCATATGTACGGCAAACTCTATCTCACTGTTGCTCACTTTCAATGGAACTTCAAACTACTCGGTCCGCTCATACACAAAACCGCATCACTCCTCCTCTTCCGTAACCCGTGGTTCCAAGATTACTCACGTTCTTAGTTTATGGTCGACACACTGCAGCTTGAATGCCGTCTGCGTAATAAAATAATTCTCCGCGAGGACCAAAACGCTGCGATCAGCCTGTCTCTAGGTTTGGTCGAATCGTGTTTTAAAGGCTACTCCATTTCAATGTCAATCAGTACAACACTTTATAGCTGAACACACATTCGACTCAATTATTGCTCAGAAGTGTTATCATTTTGAACTCCAGTTATAATTTTTGGACGGCGTTTTTTTAATTGAATGATTGATTCTGAGTTGTCCTGGGTGCATCCATACCTCTCCACGTTTTCTTCGTTCTGTGGATATTTGCCGTGGAGGCTACGGTGTTAAGCTTCTCCTTGATAGTGCACTGCAGGGTGGCAGATTGATTCATGGCCTATGCATTCGCCTCCGTAAATCTGCCACTCGATGGCAATCAGACACGCTTTTTATGAATTACACTCGCCTGTTCTTCCTCAGTCGTTGTACCACACTTGAAATAACCACTTTCATTCCCCCTGCTCTTCAGGCCGTGTGGCACGAGCCGGTCGGTCAGGAACGGCATACTCTCTCATTGACCCCGATGAACTCCCATACCTCTTTGATGTGCTAGTTTTTCTTGGAAAAAGTCTACAAACAAGTGGTCCCATTTCAGAAGACAACGTAAACGATTCGCTTGGTCGAGCACCTCACGGCTTAGTGAGTAGCACGGGCAACGTGGCTCAACAATTGGTGGACAGAAATGCGAGCATTGTAAGTTTTGACTGTTCTCTCCCCGCTTTCAAGGTTTACCTTATTGTCCAAGCAGTTGTGTTCACCCCGACTCATAGTCAGTGTGTTCGAGTGTTTACCGGTGAATATGACTTTCCTTTAGTGCTCATTAAAATCCCAAATTTTTTGACTTCACAGGCTTCTATGAGAAAACCGTGTGCTAACGCAATGAACCGATTTGTTAAAACCCGTCCAAAAGCATCAAGCGAGTCTATCCGACGTGCAAAAGAGCTCCGTGGAATGTTACATTCTTTGCCAGTACATCCATGTTTTGGTAAGTACCATTTCATCTTCCAGAAATAAGTGTTCCACATGGAATCCGTGACGGCAGAAGTCATCAACAATTTAGGTCTTTTGCCTGACTGTATGCACTAATACCCGGCAACGTCATTTCTAATTCTGCTTCATGACTGGCTTTCACAACTAAATACTCATTCATTTTCATCGATCAGATAACTTTTCGCTTTCTCATACACCTCAGGAAATTTGCATACGCTTTTTGTTTGTATTTGAAGGAGTTGAATACGAGGCTGATGCCGAGGTTCTAGATGTCATCCGAGGACTGAAATTACCAGTAAGCGATGCTTTTAATGTGCATTTATCAGTTTTGGTTAAACTGTTACACTGAATACACTTAACCTATGCTTTCACCGTTAGAACGTTATCAGCACTTTACCACGTGTCTGAAGGACTCGCTCCTTGTATTATTGTTATTGAGCAATTATATCGACTACGTGATTATTTTCTATCCAACTTTACTAGACCATTTTTGAAGCACTTGGCCGACAAGCAAATCCGGCTGCATATGATATGATGGCGAAAAAACGCAAAGTTCACGCAAATGCGATTGCTCAGCATCAGGCTCGCCAGCTTCACCTGAAACAACGTGAAGCAAACAAGGTGGGATAAAATGTTTCATGGATTGCTTTATTTACAATACGAGCCAAGTTTTTTTCGACACATCGTTACATTCTGTTGCAATTCCTGTGTAGGATCATTTACTCCCAATCAGATATCTGCATATAAAGGCCATGATTCCATAAAAATCGTATGTAAATTCACCAAAATTTCTTGGACGAGTGTATTCAAGATGGCCCTGTAAAAATCAACCCCAGACTAATGCTGCGCCTTATGTGGTATATATCTCTCAGCCAGTTGATCACTATGCGTCATAACTGTGCGTCATTAATCCTCTTTCATTCTACCTGATGGCTGTCCCATATGCATTATCAATTTCCTTCCTCATGTCCGCTTCACGTTAGGACATCCTCGATGTCGATTTTGTGTGGAACTGTATTCTCATCTTGATGTCCATCTCCAGTTTCCATCAAGTGCAAACAAGTATATCTGGTTGGACTAATGGACCATAGTTCGACCACTACCATTCCTGGATTGAGACAACCTGTACCGGCTTGTCTGCCTCTGTGTTAAATACGTACACGAAGACGTAGATTTACATCATGTAGGGGGATCACCGCAAACTACATCATGTAATCACACCCATATCGGACTCAAAGTCCGGAAGTGTGGGGTGGTGTTATTCTAGAGCTAGATAACATGTGGTAGCGCGAACGTCAGCAGACGGAGAAGCTATTTGGGTAGCTGGGTTTGCTGAAGTACGACTCCGACTAACCGATGAAACGGTTCTGATGTATTTACTTGACACCGCTGCTGTGTGCCCATAAACAGCCGTACCGTAGTACTTTTTATTTATCACGACCATCCATGCGTACACTTGAAGAGCGTTTAGTTTTCTTGATCGGATACTGTTTTTCTCGGTATCGATTGTCGCTCAAAAAGGGGCGAACTGGTGGTCATTGACTGTAAGCTCGAAATAGCTCAGCAGACAAGGCACGTGGTCACTGACCGGAAGTTTTGTGGTTCTAGCCGAACCCTGAATTTTCGGTTACTCTTCAGGTTTGGAAAAAATTCCAGAAGTCAGCCTTCGTGCGTCCTTCGAGTTGCATGGCGTGGCTCCCAAACTTTATTTGCTGTGGTATGAACTTCTACTTACTCTGTCATATGGCGGACCACATAAAACAGCTTGAATGCATGACTTGAACACACTACTATTCAGTCGGTATAACAAATGTCTCCCAAGCCAAGCGCCTGAGTGCTCCACCGTCCAGTGTATCTGGCCCGAGAGAACTTGCAGTAAATACTAGGTTTCTCTTTCTTGCAAGGACAAGCTGAACGCTTGTGTTAAGAATAAAAAAATATGAATCGCCTAAGGCTATTCATTCTTCACTGGAAACGTTAAACAACATCATGACGAACGATCTGATCTCACCGAAGTCTTGGTTCAGTCAAAAAGTAGTTGTGAATCATGCTCACAAATTGTTTCTTACTAGTTGCTGGGATTAGACGCAGTGGACGCCATTGCTTTATTTGGAGTCACCTACTGGTGAACAGTGATGTCCCCGGATCGATCACGTAGGAATTAGCCACTGACAGCTGGCTTTCGTTTTTTACTGCCGTTCTGTCTTGGAGACATACGCCCATCCGGAACATGCTCTCACCGGGTGTAAACTTTCGAAAACAAAAATTTTTTCATATAGTACTCGAGAATCAAGGTTACGGTGCTTTAAAAGCTCAGGCATCAATTGTAACTGAGACCAGATGAGCGCCGACATAAAATATGACATGAAATTCGGTGTAGGTTGTTTCTTGCTGTCCACTCAAGCACTGAATTCCGGAACCGTCAGTGTTTCCCCGGGACAGTTGGCAGTATATCACTTCGGCTGCTCAGTTTAATTCAGTCAGCCCAACGTCGGCTCAAGCATAGTCTGCGTGCGGGTTGAATCTGGTAGAACCTTTTTGTTTTCAGTGTTCGAACACTAATGCACGTAGACGGACAAGCTGGCCTCGCACGGAATTCAGAAACACTTGAGACAGTTTGCTTGACGGCCGCTCAGTTACCCTGCCGTCACTTCGACTTACCTCCAACTACCTGTTTCTGGTGGCTCTGCTATCACAAATACAGATGGCTCAGTGGTTAGTGGGGTGAATTTACTGACCAGAAAGTCCGTGGTTCGAACCCGACCTCTGCCTCTCGACTTCCCCTGTCTAGGCTTGGACAACCTGGCAGTATCCCAGCCCTCGTGCTCCCTTCTGGTGGCATGGCAGTTGGGCACCGAAAAGGTGCTACAGCTGGACGAAATACAATACCGCGATTGCAACAAATCTTAATCGACGTTCGACTATGCACTGTTAGACTTGTTGGATCATCTGGACCCGAAAATCTAGCTTTATTTGTCAGCCCTGCTTATACCTCCGGGTAGCGCATTTCTTAGCATTGCGGGCTTTGGCTTCGTCAAAACGGGGTTCGAATCCCCGCATGATCGCCCTCGAATTGGCTGTTACCCCCCATCTTTAATGCAGTGTACAAACGTTGTCCACTTAATAAAGACGGACACCACCCTCAACTTTCCACTGACTGCGGAACAACGAAAGATGGATTCTATCAACGGAGGTCTTTTAACCACATGGTGACCACCAAGGAATGGCACCGAACACAAACAGACCACACAGCCGTCAGCTACCGATGACGAGGATCAATCACTGTCTGTCGTTTCTCCTGGGATACTTGTGAGGGCTCTTATCTGTTGATGCTTGTAAAATCTGTGACTAGGGATCTTACAGGACCACTGGAGCTATCGGGCTTTACGCAGTTCGTATTCAGTAGGCAATAGGAACAGGAAGATGAGGGCAGTTGATGCTGTATTGTCAACTGGTTCTATGAATAAATAGGTTAGTAAACATCATGAATTAAACAGAACGTACAATCACCAGTGGCGCAATCGGTAGGGACCGAGAAAGGGACAGAGATTTTTTGAAGTGATAACGAGTAAGTATCAAATAATATACGAACGTACGTATACGGACTGTCATGCAGTGTAAATTGGCCGCATATAGATATAGCGTTGCAGAAGCCTGTCGGTAAGTCCTGGAAGTGATGTAAACTGCCTTGAAAACGGGTGTCGGGTGAATTCACCACAAATTAAATGTGCCTACACTCCTTAGCTGACAGCGTGACGAAGTAGCACGTGTCAAACGGAAATGCTCGCTTAGGTAATACAAAAATAGGGCTGTCGGGCAAGTCGAGTCGGTGCGCGGATAGTGCGCTTATCTGCCGTCCGAGGGATTCCGAGTCTGACCTGCCGGGTGACCTCTTCCGCCAGAGCAGGCATTTGAAAATAGGTACAGTTGACAAGAAATTGCAGACGAAGACGGACGGGCGACGAAATCTGGACACTGATAACTAGAGGGCAAGCGAACCTTAAACGGGAGCAAAAACCCTAGAAACGAGCTGGAAGGAAATAAAACAAGATTATAGTAAATGGGCGTAAGTCATGAGTAGTTAAACAACTGCTGGTTGCCGTTGATTCGCAGGAACCAACAATGTCTTTCATTGCACTTATTAGGTTCCCTTAGAATACGCATATCTCGATTAGCAGGCCAGGATCTTGTGGGCTGAGAGATCAAACGACAGTTAACTAGAACAGGCTTCCTACCACATCTGCTTGTGGGTCCGATGTCGGATTTCAACGACCACTGGAGAGAGGTGTACATGACGCATCAGCCTCAACCGGTACAACCGGGATCTGCGAGCAGATGGTCTGAAGTGTCTGCATGCTTTTTGCCACCGATGTGTCACGAGCGCCGTTGGTGTTCATAGCATTGATGGATTCCTAATGAGATAATTAGAAAACGGGCGTTCGGTTCTGTAGCAGTCGTGAGAGCATTCTGTGGCTTCTGCATGTGTTAGTAGTGCCAAATTATCGCCTATAGAAACAAGCGTTTTTTTGCTTACCTTTCTCAGAATGGCGCAAACTGTGAGGTGAACTGGACTCTCCCTTGCAATCCTTGTGGTTGGCTGGAGACGTCAGTGGCGTTCGTGCTGTTAGTTTCCTTCCAGATTGTTTATGTGAGAGTTTTGAGTTGTAGCACCTGAAAATACTTTCAGTAAGTTAGCACCAGGTCATTTCCCCCCTCAGTGTTCTTTCCTTACTTAGGTGGACATCCGGTTTTATGGCAGCCGGGCATCAGTGTCAACAATCATGTTACTATCTCGGATGGTGATGTTAGTAGAGAGGAATGGCTGCAAAACAGAAATAACCACATTCGTCAGGGCTTTCTAATACTGATCTTCTAGTTCGTTCACATTTTTTGGGCGCAGTTTCGCTGTCTATGATGAGTAAGTACGGAGATTTTACTGGTTCACGTGAGTCTGAAAAGTGTCTCGCAACTGACCAAACTATTTGTGAGTAGCCAATAGTGAACAAAAGGCAAGGCAAAAGGCAAGCCACCTCCCTGGCTTTTGTATAATAGATAATCGTTCATCTGTAACACCCTTTCGGTGCCTAGCTGCCATGCCACCCAAGGGAAGCACGAGGGCTGGGATACTGCCAGGTTGCCCAAGCCTCGACAGGAGAAGTCAAGAGCAGAGGTCGGGTTCGAATCACGGACCCTCCGGTCAGTAAATTTGCTGGGCCATCTCTTCCCTTGGCTTTTGTATAACGTCCACTGATCGTACTATCACGTAATCGCTGGTGAAATACCATTCGCATCTTGATTTTGCACAATGAAAACAGTCCTCGAAATCGACGAGTTACGTCTCTTTATGGCGCTTTTTTAGTGCACGATGTCTTGGGGATTCTCATGAGGGTCGCCTGATCAACCATTCATGAATACAACCAAGCTCCTATTATTCTGGCAAATTTCGACCATGCCCACACTGAAGAAGTGTTACTTTCCATATTTGATGACGGTTTCTATCCGGTCGGTTTTCCCATGAGGTAAACTTACCTGTACTTTAAATCTTCCCCCATCTTAATCGATTGGTCTGCTGACCACGACAAATGCTCCTGCTGCGGCTCATTCTGCATGATCTTACTGTGGTTCAAGTGATCATATAAATGATATCCACTTACATTTCGTTTGACGTTGTTATTTTTCTTACTAGCTATGGTTTTCGTAGTAGTGAGAGTATATATCCCTATGTACAACTAAAGTTGTGTTCCATTTATCCATGACCTGTTACTTCCCATGACCAGCCAGCGGTACTCACGCGTACGGTCAATCTGTCTGCACCGACTGTTACTGATTCTGTGGAAGATGGGTACAATCTGGAGAATACGGAATTGTTCATTCCATACAGCCGTGGTAACGAGGCTTCTGAACGTGGCCTTTCCGTTTCAAATTCGGTAAACCACTTTACAGCCCAGGCAGCTGAAGCATCCATGGATCTGATGGGTGATGAACTGTCACAGGCGGACAAGTAAGCTCTTTCCCTGCTGTACAACACTTTTTGCCCAGCATTGGGACTTGCTGTTTGTTTATTTATTCCTACCTATTACATGTAGAGCAATTCACCGGTCAGGTCGAGAAGGACCTGTTGCTTCTGAGAGACAGATTAACATCAATCACTGGCACAGAGTGTTTAGCGTTTTAGTCAGCTGGTAAGCCATGGTCTCATGAAAGTCAGATTCATGAAAACATTTCGTTGTTGTCCGGAACCGCCATCTTTACCGAAATCGCTTCAGAAAGACCGGCGAGTCTCCGGGCCAAAACATCCAGCTGCTGATTACACAGCCAGTCATCGACGATGCTAAAGTGTTCAGGCATGTCCTAAAAGCAATGAACGGAAGCAACTCGGGACCGATCGGGTAGCCTTGACGATTTTCAACTAGTTTGACGCTCCCCGAAATTTTGCACTCTCTTGTTTGTAATAAATCTGTTGTCTTCTTGTTGAGTGAATCTTCTCCTGTTACTTAGGTTGTTGAGCCAGGAGTTTTAGTCAGTTACAACATTTGATTTGCAGCAAAAGGCACTGACTTTGCGTGTTACCTATTGGGACACAGCCAGACACGGTCAAATTCAGCTTTTCCATGGAAGACTTTGTTGTGTATCGGACGCTACTTGCTTTGAACTTTTCTCGGCCCGGTTCTCTGGCAACCTTGGTAGTTTTTCTTGTTAGTAATACGGTCATCGGTAGATTTCTACAGCCTATCCCATTCTAAGATTAGTTGACTCAGTTCGAGATGTGAGGACGTACGTGTTTTGGTGTGTAGATTTGGACAGTGATGTTGCCTTCATCCCTCGATGTCTTCCAAACTGACACACGTGTTCCGGGGAATCGTTCCAGAATACCTCTCCTCTTCAATGAGTGAAGTCATTCCATGTGTCCTCAAAGATGGAAGTTTTCATGTCGGAACCATGACCTTGAGCCGAGTGAGGCAAGCTTGCAGCAGGCGGTTATTGCAATGCTAAGTGGTACATCATTACTTACTGAACCAGTAGTGAAGAAGAGTGTCAACCCAACCTGCAAGGTCGCACTGTTTATTCAGCGGATTATTACACTGACCAGGTCGCCAGGCCATCAGCGACTGCTTAGGTCATTATTAACAATACCAGGTTTGATTACACCGTTACCCAACACGTGCATGCCTAAGTGCAGTCGGAATGACGTATGGCATATATCAAATGACAAATGACATACGTAACCGTGATGGTACGGTGGCGAAGGAGTCGTCAGAAAGTGCGGTACTAATTTAATGTGTGAATAGGTTCAGTGAGGCTGAATGGCACTTACTATGGAAGTGTCTATACAACAAGCTCGACAGCTACGGTGGGACCAAGATAATTTCATCCAGTGGTAAAAGTTTAATGATCACACCTTAAGAACTTTCTTCTTTCACGGAGAGAAGGTATTGACGCTTATAAACCTTACTGTAAATAGCTGGTCTTTCTTGTTCGTGATTCTGACGTAAACTTCACAAAGGAGCAACAAAGGGCAACTACTAAGTCGTTTTTCCGGATGAATTTTTATTTTGATCGCACTCCAGGACTACTTTTTTCCATTCATTCCTATTTGTGTTCGTACTCTTATCAGGCTTCGTCCGGCGGGCTCACGACTCAGAAAACAAGTGTGGGATCGGAAAAAGAAACGATATGTGGATTCCGAAGCCGCAGAGGGAAAGGCTAATTTGAAGCGAATCAAAACTGAAAGTGGCATTTGGATTCCTGCTTCATACAAGACAGACAGGTAAATACGACAAGCGGTTAAAATTCTCACCTGTGTGTTGCTTTTATAAGTGAATGCTGGACACACTCAGGCATCGAAGATATGCTTGTGCATGGCCTTTACGCAATGAGCGTTAGTGAAGCAATTCACAAAAAATTTTGTAGGTAAATTATGGTAGCAGCCTGTCCTAGATGAGTTACTTAGTGCCTGTGTTTCATCAGCAAGTCGGTTCGGCAATCACTGCGTAGCAAATGCACATCGTATTTGTAGTTCAAGATGGCGTTGAAATTAGGAGCTTCTGATAAAGAAATCCCTTGATTCCTCACTTGTTTCCATTTTCCCTCATCCTGGCAAGTTGGAGTCATTTCAGCCTTCATACTATGGGTAGCCTGAAGTATGCGGCACAGCTATGGTTGTTTTCTGGTTGATTGCCAAATGATCGAAAGTCTACAAATGGCCCTGAAATTTATGTTATCAGAAAAGTCCTTTCGTCGTTTCTTGTATTGGCCTATGCATTTACGTGCTTTACAAAAATCCAGGTATAACCAGTGGATCAAACGCTCCAACGTAGATCAAGGAGCACCCGACTCTGGCAGAAATGTGGGGGACATCTCGCAGCCGCACACTTCCTTTTCCGCACGATTTGGTGGTGTTGTAGAGTTCCCGGAAGAACCTGAAGAACCAAAGAACAGACCACAGGACCGTTTCAAAGCTAAGCGTAATGCACAAGCTGTTGATCGCAAAGGCTTCAAGGCTCCCACAAGCAAAGGAAAATCCACAGATGAAGTTCATGGAACAAAATTCAAAGTGCTGGGAACAAAGCCATGGTGTGAGTTGTTCTCCATTTTCCCCCATTTTTTCTATGTTCATTTTTAATGAATTTGACCGAGCTGGAACAAAGTGTGGATCAATTCGGTGAATGTCCAATTGCGAAAGGCCCGTAGTATGGATAAAAACACACGCTAATTGGGGGATTTGAATTGTGTACCCCCGTTTACACGACTGGTGCTTCGAATTTCGAGGTTTGCCAATCACATCTTCGTGTTTCCATAACAAGCAACTGCAGCTATCTTAGGTTTCAGTTCAAGGATCTTTCGACCACGCGGTGCCATCGTGTCCGTCCTGGAATAAAATAGGGAGATAGTAGGGAACCAACCGACCTTGCTTCTTGGCTCGAACTTATCCTTAATCTTTCGATTGCTTCTGTCTAGGCCTTAGCTAACTGGCAACATCTTCGTCCTCGTGTTTTGGAAGTTTTGCACCAAAACCACGCCATAGTTGAACGTCTTGCTTCCATGAGCGTATAAATGCTTATCACCCGGAGGAGACTGTCTATTGCCTTCTAATTCAAATCACGGAGTAATTTACTCGCAGAATGTCAGCGGACGTTCGGCAAACAAATTAGAGTTGATCCCTATATGATATGGTCCCTCTTTCGGTTCGACATCCCTAACACCGAACGGTTCCGCCCAAAGCAAAGTCGTTTGTAATCTTCACCTTTCGTGTGAATTTTGCGATTACTCCTGGAGAACAAAAAGCCTGCATAATTGATATGACTTTTTTATCCGATTGCAATGAAGTTAGTCAACGTACCCGACACTAACACAAACAAGTGCCCTGACACGGCCTTCAACAGGTATAAAGAATAACTTACATGCGTCAAGGGCAGTCTCTAAATCCTCACTGCCGTTTTTGTTCGATGATCTTCATATCCAGGAAGTTGTTCGCTGTTTCCAGATGTGATCGACAGCACCGACAATACTATGGGCGTCTGCAAAGCTGTTTCTCTATACATGTGACAATAATCGGTATGTAGAAAGTGATTTCTCCCCACCAAGTTCCTGAGACAGATAGTGTGGCGTCCGCATGTTCGCCATAGAGCATTTTAAAACTGTGTTCAATAGCGCAAAGAACGTCTTCCGCAAATAGTGTGCACACATATTTGATTGCGTAATTTTCACCCTAATGGCCATTGTGATACTTTATCCAGGACATTCTTTAGCGGAATATTAATCGAAGAGTTTTCAGCAACTTTATTAGTAGTTCCCCTTATGAGACCTCGTCTCTTTTTCCAGATCATCGTGCCCATGCTCATCAGAAAGAAAAAGCTCAGCTCAAACAGGATGCGCAAAAAATACGAATGCCTAAAGGCAGTCGCACGTTTGGGCAACTACGTAAACCTGAACAAATCTTGAAACAACGTCGCTTGCGGTCCAAAATGCGCCAGGCAGCCCATAAAAAGAAGACACAAAAACACGGGGGACCTTCTCACAAGACAAAGATGGGAAAGAAGGTGCCGTTCAAAAGATCACGCAAATAGACTGCCTTTTTTGCTTGAACAAATGGAGTTATTTTTTTCGAAAATTTGATCTGTAAATAAAGTAATCGCTGAACCACCTCTTACACTGCGAACACAACGTAGCCGTTCTTTTCTTGTGTTGTTTCTCAAATGTGACCGCAGTGACTGGTTCCGTCACTGCAGATATCTGCTGGTGAGAACGTTGTCGATCAGGAGCACATAGACGAGGGTCCAGTTCAAGCCACCGTTGAGTAAACCGAATACCATCTTTCGCGGTTTATTTCGCAGCTACAAAGTGCAGAATCATATTTCGGAACGTGCCCTTCACAATCTAACGAGATGGCATCGGAGGGTGTGGAGAATTTTATCAACTCGGGTGACTGAATTAGCTCTGACGAAACTGCGCCTGATAGATCGGTTTTCAAATCTTAAAGGTCTGAATCACATTTGTCAACTTGCGCCACTTTTGACGTCAAGGACATTTAAACGGGTATCAATGGTCGTGTTTACCAGGCTGTAGTGGGAGAGGTTGCGATGTATGGCCTCTGAGGATACATGATGCAATGCGTCTCCAGGTTCTTGATCACCAATACCCTAGAAGCGCCGCTGGTGTCGTATGGCACAACAAATTCGTAACGAGGTAATTAACTAATGGCTATTCGTTTGTGCGTCGGGTACTTCAGTCACGGAAGACATCCAAAACCATCAATAACTGTTGCTCGGCCAATTGCTACGTATGCTGAATCGTCGCTAACTCAGGCTAGTGCTGTTCTCCTTGCCTTTTTCCGAACGATGCAGACTGCGAGGTGGACCACGTGTGACTTGGTGGATAGGTGTGGAAGGAGTTACAAAAAGCTTGTTTCTTTGTTGTCTAACATATCCAGTGGTCATGTTTATGCTTGACTGGATACATTGCATGAAATGGAATTTCGTGTCTTCCGTTTCTTTATAGGCTGTCTGATTTTGGTGGTGTGTCCTTCAGAATGCAATATATTAGCACCAGGTTTCTCCCTCATCCAGTGTTTTTGTTCCTACTTTGAAGCTTTAAATACAATAAGATTAACAGTTCGCATGTTTCCTCGGTGCGATCATCATCCCCAATGCATGTTTCTAACCTAAGGGCATGTGTGGTGGAACATCACCCCTCACATGCGACACTGAACGCCCCTTGTCTCCTGATTTTTTCGCGACCCTTAATGTGCGAACACTCAGGGACATGACTGATGTCTTGCCAATGGGTTATTACCACATTCCCGAAATCCCAAAACGAGTTTTTCCAATCATTCATAATGGTTTCACCATTCGTGTTTGTACGGCGTTCAAGCACTGGTAAACTGCTGTCAGTGACAATGGGGAATTCTTGAGGTGTGGATTCATCGCGCGAAGACTTTAAAACGTGTTTCATTGTTGGCCAGATGGGTGTTAGACGGTTACATTCTCGCACCAAATGACCGTCCGTTGACAGGTAAACTGTCACCCAATCGGTACATCCAACTGGTAACCAAATAGTACCCCATCGTTCAGGTTTCGATGAGGATCTGGTTAAATGGGCTAACAGTAACGTTTGAGTAAAACTCTAAGCTTCCGTTAGAACTCGTGAGATGTGGTTTCAACCAGATATTAGATAGAATCAGCCACAACGAATTCCCCAGGTAACTAGCGTTTCACTTGAGCTTACGCAAACCAACCAAACATCAAGCAACATCAATAAACCAATCAAACAAGCACAAGCAGAACTCAGCCAGCATGGAACACACGGTTTGGCGGGATTCGCCAGTACGGAACGTTACCCAGTGCCTGGGTGGTCGCATCTCCACCTAAGAACACGTGTATCACAAAAATTCAACTAACATGCACTAGGCATGAGCCAGGTCGACCTGCAGTACAATTTACAGGCCTGCGTTTCCGGTACTAGTGAACACTTTCACCGATGGTGAAGTAAGGATAAAAAGCAGGCTTTCTAACACTTTTCCTACAAGCATATACTTGGAGAGAATTACGAGATTTCGCCGTGACTGAAATGGGAATACCTGCCATTCAAGTGTCCCGCCACAATATATACGTGGTCAAAACCTTTCGTGTAAGTGGTGAGCGTTATTAGCTGTCAGGTAAGCCAAGTTGAAAAAGAATCAGTTCTAACAAACCCGGAGATAGATGTGGTTTTAGCTAGGCCTAAACCAGCAGCTCCAACAGCAGCAGACAACCCAAAGGAAGCTTGGTTAGAGAGCAGCGCAGCAGCTAAACGCAACTGATCTTTGGACCGCCGTGGGGTGTAGTTCGCATTACCCACTCAATTTGACAAAGCGTGCAGTTATCAACGGATGTCCATTGTGTTGAACCAAACCGACAGTAAGAGAATATTTGAGCCCCTGCTTTGGTAAGATTAAGAAGCACGGACCACTGCCTTAAGGTTTAACATTGAGAATTGATCTCATGCTTGAATGGACGCCAGGATACAGAATCAATGACAGAGGCTGTAACTTAAAAATGCTGGCTACTGTAACGACATTAGTCGACCACCAAAAAATAAGAGCAAGGTCTGTTAAACTGCGAGCGCTATGATTATAAATCCAAGTGCCGAAAATAAGGATAACATAATATATCGCATATGCCAACTATTGGTGAGTGAGGTCCATTGGGATAGACAATGGAATTTTTAGGAAGCAGTGGTATAACTTCCTCATTCATTTGTGGGTCAAAATAGAGAAATTTGGGAAGATCGCTCAGCTACCTCTATGTACGTGATTTCAACCGGTTCAACCACATGAGCTATGTTGGTACGCATCACACGTGCTGAAACGCTTTGTCTCAACGCTGAGAATCTTTAGTGACGGATAAAAAGACAAGGAACCGAATAGCACGGTGCGCACAGGTTACGGGCCCCAATTTGTGGTTCTGTATGATTTCCGGGCTTCAGAATGGGATTTCGTTCACCAGGTGTTTTTCTTGGAATCATTCACGGACGCAAGTAGAGAACCCCTGATGGAGCTCTGCTCACTGTTGCCATACCTCCGTCTGGGAATAGATTAAGGTGTCGAAACAATATCCACGCACAGCTCCGCAAAACGCTGTGTTTGGGAATCTGGAGCATTTTTCACGGCCTCGGACACTTACATTCTTCACTGCCGTGGCTACCAAAATGTAATCAGAATTCTGATGGCTTATTTATAGTCCAGATGAATCAGTGACCGCCAGAGCAGCTGAGAGGGTTTATACCGGTCAACGGTACCCCCCTAGGTTACACTGTGTCTGATTACCCAGGGACTCACATAACCCTGGCAAGTTGGTGGCTGGCATCTAGACTCGGCATTTAAACTCGCAACATTACGCGCCTACAGTTTTCCCTGAAATTGATCTTAACTTTGTGCCTGAAGCGGTAACCTTGGCCAAATGGCTCGAGGCAAACAGTGAGGAAAGGAATGTACTGCAGATGTAACGACCCTAATAATTGTGTTGAGTATAAAAAGCTATCCTACGAGAAGGTACAAAATTCCACAGCCATTAGGTTCCTTATTGTTGCACTGACTACCGATTAGTCCCGGAGTGGAAAACTAATTGAAACCACATTTTCGTCAAAACCCATTACAAAAGAAACACGCTGGACGTAACAAAAATATAGTGAATGAAACTGTGACCACCTTCACTTCCTGTTTTGGACCGGTGTACTGTAGTGTGATTGACTGATGATGCCAACAGCGTAGCAGTATTGGATGCTCAATGGTATCCACAGAGCTCCCGGGACGTACAGTACCCCATCCATGATCTTGAGTCGTTCACAGTGTTTTATGAGCGTGACACAACCTGATGTTTGATCGTTTGCGCATTCAATGGACATGGAAGCCGGGATCCTGGAACAAAACCCACACACAGGGACGTTAAGGGACAGCCCTTGAGTTTCTCTGTAGGATCAACATTTTCCTCGCTTCTACAAACAGATCCTCAACAAGCACTAATTTTATAGGATTCAGAGCCATCACTATGCCAATGCAATGTTCAGATTGACATGTGGGTGATATAGACCACAACAGTTTCAAAAATGATTCATACTACCAAACGAGTTGGCTACGGTATTTCAGGTATTTGGAACAATTAAGTGTCACAAGAAACCAGTCCTTTGTAGGTTTGCTTGTCTTCCGTATTGTCTTGGTCCGATATATGCTGCACCCAATTCACACACCACGTCCAATGGGAATCGAACCGTTCATAAGTACCTTACTGTTTTAAGTCAGACTGAGTCCAGAATGTGTATTTTTCAGGATAACATGAGGCGCGTTATGTTCTTCGTCAAAGTATTTAGATGAGATTGTAGGTAATACTCCAAAAGCTGTTTGGTTTATCTCAGTGGTGTACAGATACGTGCGTGCGATAACTGGAGGACAAGTTTCTGTGGGTGACTGTAGGGTTTTATGTGTTTATCCGGCCGAAAGCATCTTTAGTTTTATCTATCTTGATTACTGTTTATACATGTAACTGGTACTCAGATATGCTCGTCTGGTCGACATTGGCATCCATGTTCTACCTGCATCGATCGTCCTTAAACTTGAATGGAATTCTCGAAAACCACGAGGTTTCCAAAGCTTCCGCCTCATAGCAAAGAATGTCAATGTCTAATGAATTGTTCTGCAAATGGGGTATTTGTTTAAACGAACCAAACATCAAGGACGTCAATCAACACCGATCGTGTAAACGATGCGCACTGCAGTGAAACGTGAATCTCTTACAATGAACGAAGTTCGCAGATAGTTTTGTGGCTGAAACAATTCAGCGACGTGTGCTTGTAGAACCAAAATATGCGGCGATGCCACTCCTGAAAACATTTCTCACTACGAACATCTGCTAAACCGAATTATGTGTTCTTGAACCTCGCTTACTAATGTTCCCAATGCTTTCAGATAACTCGTGCGAGGTCGGAAAAACCTAAAGCTGGTAGGTGTAATGACCGCTGCACACGCGTCATATGTGGCGGTATATTGCGGCAGACCACCTCTCGAAACATGTCAAGACGATCGTGTATTCACTCACAGCGTACAGCTGAACGAACCTAGCTGACGCGCACGATTAACATGTGGCCGGTGATCCCCGATGCTAGATCAGCTGACCGGTGCGCGCCTATCCATCTTCAGGGGGAGAGGTCG